GTCCCCTCGATGTCCCCTGCCCCCCCTCATCCCGACCCGTTCCCCCGGCCCCCTCCCGCCCTCGCCTTCCCCCGGTGAAGCGGAGGCTTGAGGAGCTCGGTCGGAGTTAAGGATGTGGGAGGCAGCCGGCGGGTAACGGCACCCGGAGCCGGGGGTGCCGCTGCGGGAAATAGGCCTCGCTGGGAGCGAGGGGAGGCGGTGTGCCCACTCCCCGAGTTTTTTCCATTTGTGATAGCTTGGGAATTGGTAAAAAGAAAAGGTTTTGGGGTGAAATTGGTTAGGGCAGGTGTTCGGGGCCTCCTCAGGAATGGGTGAGGACAGTGTTGGGTGGGCCGAGGCCAAAACAGCGACCACCATGAGGGGTCCCAGCTCCCTGCCTCTGGCGTTGCGGCAGGCCCGTTGAGTTTCATGTCGTGTCGTGTCTTGCTCCCACAAAAACCTGTCCAGATTTAGTCAAATTATTGCTCTCTACAACTCCCTGAAAGGAGGGTGTAGAGAGATGGGGGTCGGTCTCTTTTCTCAAGTCACAGGTGACAGGACGAGAGGAAACGGCCTCAAGTTACACCAGGGGAGGTTCAGGCTGGATATTAGGAAAAAATTTTTCACCGAAAGGGTTCTCAGGCATTGGAATGGGCTGCCCAGGGAGGTGGTTGAGGCACCATCCCTGGAGGTGTTCAAAAGACAGGTTGATGTAGTGCTGGGAGGTATGGTTTAGTGATGGTGATGCTCCTTGTTTGTTGTGTGGGTGTCTATTTTTGTCAGTTAGGTTGACGGTTGGACAAGATGATCTTTAAGGTCCCTTCCAACCTAGAAGATTCTGTGATTCTGTGAAATGCCAGCTGAACACCAGCATAACACAGATGGGCGGGTGGAGGTTTCCACCTGTCCTGCCAACACGGGAAGCTTATGAGCGGTTCCTGCTCCAAGGACAACCCCGATGGGCAGCATACCGTGCCACGTGGCTGAAACCTTCCACCACCTCTTGGCTCCTGGTCATCACTGGTGGCCATGTCCACTGAACCACAGCCATGGACAGGTCTGCGAGGGAGAAGATGAAACATTTCTCATCCAGGTTGTTCCCAGCTGCTCTCTGTGTTATGATCAAAAGCAGCAAGCCTGGCATGGTGTGCTCTCCATGGCTTTCTGCAACACCCAAGGAAGGGATAAGTGAAGTAATTTTCTACTTCAGTGCAGAAGACCTTGTAATGTGTTGGAGAACTAGTCTACTTACATTTTACATTTGGTATTTTGAGTTGATCCACTTGTACTGAGACATATTTTCCCCCGTTTCACCCTGTTGGAAAAAAGTGGTGCTTAGATGCCTGTCTTTTGCTGAGACAATCAGGATGTGTACGACAGTGCAGTGACTGAGGTCTAGCCCACCAGCTCTGGGCTGTTCCCTGTAGCAAAACCAAAGAACTCAGGGTTGGGGGACAATATGAAGGCACTCTTTAATGAACATTTTTTAGTAACTGCATTGATACAGGCAACCCTGCCCTCTCAAAGTTCATGCTCTCTCTTCAGAAGTGGTGCTTGGTTGCGAAGTGAAGCTGGTTAGGACCAGTACTTGGTATTTTTGGTGATGTTGTTTTTACTTTGGATCCATTTATTCATCTGGTTGACCATCATTCTCCATCTCCTGCTATCTGAATGAAAAAAAACAAACAAACCCAAAATCCAAAGAACTGAAGTGAACCAGTAGGGTGTAGTCATCAAAAATGAGTTTCAGGGGCAGCTCACCTGAGCAGGACAGCTGGAAACACTGCCCGTCTGTGGTCTTGATACAGCCCTTTTTAATTACAGAGCCAGGGAAGGATTCCACAGGGAAAAGTTCTATCAAAACAAGGGGCAGGGAGGGTGGTGGTTTTGGAGGTGCTTGACCAGCAAAGAACTGTTGACCATAAATTTGAAGCTCTTCCTGATACAAAAAGGTGGTGGGTTGAAAGGCGAGGTCTCCAAGTCTTATTAAGAGGACTGACCCCAAAGTTTGGAGTATTTGCAGTGAAAAGGAATCAGCAGTAGTGTGTGATAAATAGTCACTTGCTGGAAGTTGGGCTTTTATCTTCTGTTTGCCTGTAGCACTGGGGAGTTCTGGTGTCTTTGTAGACTTCTGTGATCTATGGAATACTGGTAATAGGCTAATACTTCTCTCCTTCCTGATGCTGTACTCCATTGTTTTAGACCTGTTTATTCAGTGCTTGTTGAATGTCCACTAAGGTTCCTGAGTTCAGTTTTCAGGCATACTAAGTGTGCCCAGGTACATCTTTGTTGGCACGAGGTGCTGTAGGACATCAGGTGTGTTCAAAGTCAGGCCTGCGTTATTTTCAGTTGAGCACCCAAGATTATTAAAACTGCTTTGCCTTCATGTCAGTGCCCAATTTTAGCAAAAACGTCATTTACTTCTGTAGATTATGTGAAGGTGGGTTAAAGTTGGAAACACTCAGGTGCGGTAGAAATGAGTTCCATAAAGTATCTTCAGAAACTAGGGTTTTACCCATACCTGGTAAATGGAGCTGCATTTCAAAGTACAGAAATCAGAGCACGGAACCATTGGTTGTTACATTAAAACTACCCATCCCGTGTGGCCTACAAGACAACTGTCCCCTGTAAAATGAGTACGTGGTCACATAATTAAAACTATCTTGGGCCCCGTGCTGTTAATGACTGCCGGTGTGTCTCGAGTCTGTAGGTGGTTACCAACCTCATTAAAACTGATGGGTGGATTCAGCATTTGATGAGTTGTCCTTCAAATCTTGATGGCCTCCATGACTATAAAGGAGTGTGAAGAGGTTAAAACTGCATAGAAAAAAAAGCATTCTTTTTTTGTGTAAATTCTTTCCAAATAAGCTGGGTTGCATGACTCCCCTTAGACTGCCCGGTTACTCAGTACCATGCAGAGTTAGACCAGATTTTGACATACTTGTGAACGTAGATACCTATAGAAGGTGTGGTAAGATGCAGGATGGTGCTACCCGGAGTGGATCACATCATTCCAGTACAATCACAATCTCTTACACAAGAGCAAATCAACACCCTGGTGTATCTAAACTGAGGTAAAGGAACTGATTCCCCATGGGGAACGTTGCTGAAGGTGGGGACCATGATAATTCAGACCTGAATTGTGTGGTCAAGGTGGATGTGGAGCAGCTAAGGAGCAGACAGCAAAAGCCCAACTTGAAAGGCAGATACCTGGCAGCAGATAAATGACCAGGAGCACTCTTTTGGGGACTGTGATTAGGTTTTGGACATCATATGAGCAATATAGTCATTAATGAGACAGAGATAAGAATTTGATGGGCATCCATGAAATTTGCCGGTGACACTAAGTGGAAAGGTGTGAGTAATGACCTTCTGGAGTGGAGTGAAAGAAATGGGATGAAATTTAATGGCATCAGGTTCAAAGTCAGGCGCTGAAAGAACAAGAAGCCTTTGCTATGAACTCTGTTAGGGTAAACGAGGAGGAAGGAGGTCTCTTTTAAGGACATTAAGATTTCTTGAAGACCTCACGAGACCTGATTTTCTGTCTCTTGGCACGATAGTTAAGCCAACAGTCAGATGGTCACGGATCTGCAGGAGAGCAGTGTTTCTCTTTTTTCTAGTATGATCTAGACATCCATCATGTGTTTGCCTGGGCTTGATCCCTAAAGGAGTCCTTGCTGTTACCATGCCTTTGTTTCTTCCCTCCCCAAATATAAATAATAAAACAAAGGCCAGAGACTGTGTTCCTTTCCTGTGAAACAATTAGGAAATTGAATTTGAAAGAGAGGAAGTTTCAAAGAGGAAAATTGTCAACTGCTAGTCATGTGAAACAGCAGCGACGCTGCACTGAAACCAGCACAGAGAGGGGGAAAAAAATAACAATCC